ATGTGAAGAAGGAACGAAGTGGATAAACAGTTAAACTGATGAATGAGGCTAAAATCTCATTCATTCGACGATTAAATTGACTGTTTAGATAATGGCAGTGTAAGGCACATTCTGACTGCCTGATTGACTTAGAAAAAATCTTTTCATAGGAGCTTTTGTCATCATGTTTTTAGATTTTACATGATATGTCTTTCTCTGCTTTGCAGGTGGTTTGGGGCGCCGGGGCTTGTCTCGCCCACAGCGACCAGGTGGTCACCCCCTGACCCAGCAGTATCAAAGGGGGGTGCGTTCTCACAGCAAGGAGTCCACACCACCTAAAGACCTGGACCTGGTGACCAAGCGGATGCTCTCGGCCCGCCTCCTAAAAATCAATGAATTGCGCAATGCTCTTTCTGAGCTGCAGCAGCGCACGGACGAACTGCAGAAAGAAAATCGAATTCTTCGACAGGTAGGCCTGTTTCAATATTTGGTTTAAATGCTTTGAAGGAAGAGTGTTCTTAAATAATTTTATGGCTTTTATTCATGTTTGTAGTAAAAAATAAACAGACTTTTTTACAGGAAAATCAATTACAATTCTCCTTCTTCTTCACCACTCTCAATGCAACCTTTGCCATGCTTCAGCTTCAGGTGCGTCAAGAGAAAGCCCTGCAGCGGTACGATGATACAGAAAGCGAAATCTCCCAGCTCTTATCCCGGCACTCCAACGAGATCCACGTGCTGCGTGAACGTCTCAGGCGCACCCAAGAACGGGAACGGAAAGCTGAGCGCCAGCTGAGGGACACAGAGGAGCGGTTTCAGAGGGGTCAAGCTACCATTTCACGGCTGAAGAAGCTGGTCGAGCAGCGGGATTTAGGAGCCAGAGAGGAGCTCAGCCGCAGGCTAGAGGAAGAGAAGTTGCGGGCCCAAGAAGCTGAACGTAAGCTTAAGGTAAATAGACAGTGGAATAAAAGATCTAACCTTCTTCTGGATCTTCTGGATTCCGATTAAATACTTATTGACCTGAAATTAAGTCTTATTAACCCTGATTTCTAGAGCCCCACATACTGCTTTGTAGCATGAATGATTAACCTGGAACATGTTGAATGTTGGGTTTCTGGTTTACAATATAACAAACTGATGCACATTTATGTGCAATCTCTTGTCAGTGAACACTCAAAATTGTAATTCTCATTTATTGTTTTTATCCTAAACCATGGGTTCCCTTTCAATGCAGCAACTTTCAATGAGTGTTTGTGTTTGAAGGAGGTGGAGCGTAGCATGGAGCTAAGAAATAGCAGTTATCAGAGACAGCTTGTCGCAGAGAAGAAGAAGACACTTAGTACCCAGGAAGAGATCAGGGCTCTCCAGGAGGAACTTGAACGACTGAACAATAAACTCAAGGTACATGTACAAAAAATAACCTTAAAAAGTAGCCGCTGCCATCGAAAGCAGGACTGTGCATCAAAAGCAGATTGCTCATTGTGTAAAACAGTATTTTTTGTTGTTGTTTTTTTTTTATTTCTTCTTAAAATGTTCAGGAAAAGGAGAGAGAACTCGATGCGAAGAATATTTATGCCAATCGCATGGTGAAACCCTCACAAAAAAAAGAGACTGAAAGTGACACAAAGCACAAAGGTAACAATTAACTTGCTGAGGCTTATTGTGTAGTTCATTTGACTTTATATCAAAAAGTGGATGCCAGATGGTATCATGAGTCACAAAATTCACTTTTTGTGTCGGATAGAATCCTTTGGAAAGCCTGAATTTTTTTCCCACATTGATATTTGATACATGTTTTTGCTGTAACTTCATTGGCTGTGTCTGAATCCATACTAATAAATATGCATGGTGGCTAAAAAGCAATCAGGATTGCTTATAAGTAATGATAGTGCTTTGTGTAATGGGATGGTCAGAAATATGTTGAGTAAAAGTGATTTTATACTTTTCCCACACATAGTTCCCAGCAGGAGCAGCTCTAAGGCGATACAGACTGAAGGCAGGATGCTGAGTCTGGATTTTCCCACACCTCCCCCTGCTATCACAGATGCCAGCGAGTACAGGGAACATCCACCTGATGAATATTTATCACTTAAGGTGTTATGTCTACTCTTTCCTTGTACTTACTTTGTCCACATCTTTTACCACTAATTGTTGTCATTCATCACTTTTCAAATTTCTGCTATCAGGAGCTTAACAGAGCGGTCAATCAAGCAGAGGCAGAAGACAGGGGACCAAACTGGGAACAAAAGAGTAGAGAAAGACATGAGGAGAAGGAGTTGGCGAAGGAAGAGAAAGAGGCCAAAAAGTACCTTGATCAGGAACAGAAAGCGCTTGAAGTTAAGGCAAAGTTTTTAAGAAACGGTAAGCCAAAGATTAGTTAAGAGTAGTTGTAGAGCATATACTTCACTTATAAAAAGCTTGTCGAAGCAGCATTGTTTGTACTTTAATCTGAGGAACGCTATCCCAACAGGCTCGGAGAAAGAAAAGGATGAAGAGGGCCAAAAGTGGACGAGTTTCCTGTTCAACCAGAATGGGGATGATAACTACAAGAAGCACGGTCATGTCCAGGGAGAGGTGGAGAGATGGAATCAGGAGGCGCTGGCCTGTCAGCAAGCATCAGAAGAAGCGCGGCGCAAAAAAGAGCAGCTGCTGGCAAAGATGCGGGAAATAGACAGTCAGAAACAGGGGGCCCAGGATTCCTTGTTTGCCTCGAGTCCTTCTGAGTCCAATAAGGGTCTCGGTGAACATTCTTCTCCACGCCCTCCTGAGCAAAGGAACCATAACTCTTCGATTTTCAGCCTAACTAATTCAGAGGAGCCGGATGATTTGCGTCCTGGGAGCAAAGAAGGTGGAAGGAGGAGACTAGGCACAGAGGGTGGAGCAGTTACAGCAGGGATAGGGAGGAGAGCGCTCCGGTCTCAAATCTCCAGCGATGACTTGGCATTTGGAGGTTACGCACCTTCATTTGTACATTCAACTTTCCGTGGTTCCTCTGGCTTCCCTCCACCTCCACCCAAAGAGGACAAGGAATCTGCGTTAGAAGCAATAGGGGTGTTTAATATCAGTGCAGCAGAGGAGAGGGAGACAGAAAAAGCTCAGGGAAAGGACAGGAAGTTAAGTCTAATGCACCAGCTGTTTGGTCCCCAAGCCACAGCTGTTGGTGATGGTGCGAATACCTCCAATAAACTGGAGCTTCTTAATAGTCCTCCAACAACCAATGGAGTGCGTTCAAGAAGGGATGGACTGCTCAACTTCAACTCAGGATCTCTCACTGCTCCAGCAGCCTCCTTTAGCACCCTCCATGTTGCAGATAGCAGACCTGCCATCCGTGCCATCACCTCCTTCGAAGACGAGATTGAGGAACTCACATTATGAAATTAATTTAGATTGAAAGTAGTCTGGGTCTTTGATGGCAAACCATCAAATCTGAGAGGTTATTTATGAAATATAAGAACAACCCAGCATTAAAAATATGAGAACATCAAAATAAGACGAAACTTGCAGAAACTGATTTGTTTCATCCATCAGTCCTTTTTAACTGCCTCTGTCCAGTTGGATCAGTCACTCAAAACACCCCTAAGGTGGACAAGCAGTTAAGAAAAAGGATCAATGGGTTAATGTGCAATTTGTACGTTTGTTACATTGTTTTTCTTAGACGTTCCTTTAAAACCAGCTTAACTCTCATAACAGTGATTTTTATTTGTAGCACCTGTGAAAATTAAAGAGTAGCTTTTCTGACAGACTATGACTGAAGCTCTTACTCCATTTAGATATTTTAGTGCTTTGCTGGGTTTTGTATAGTTTGGGATATTTTTTGTCTTTGTCAGATAGTTTGTAATCATAGATTTTCCCATAATCTGAAAGGGCTGCAGTAGGGAGGAAGAAATTACAATGCATGGTACATAATAGCACCCTTCCTACAGTTCCCCCTTCTCTGTTCAAAACGCCTCCTACCAGATGGCTTCACACTGGATTTAAACTCTACTGTATCAGGTGAATGTCCTCTGCTCAAGGCATTGAATCATCACTTTCTACACAGATTTGATTTAGTTTTAAATAAACCACTAGATCTGTCATTGGCCAGTTTTTTCAGTCATCAACTGAATTTATTTTTAAACAATACCTTGTGGAGATGCAGGAGTCTCTCCCTTTCAGAGCACTTGAATTAAAATCCACTTGAAGGCCATAAGGGATGTGTTCTCCAGTGGTGCCAAAATATGTTTCCCACTCCTTTAATTCTTTTGCAGATATTTTGACATAAAAATGTACCCCTAAATGACAAGACAATCACACCATGTGTAGATCGCCTGTACAACATCTGACTGTTACTGTATGATAAACGAGTTTTCAATTTTATATGTAATCTTACCAGCACTCTAAGCACATGTAAGTCCCAGGTCTTCCTTTCGCCCAACCCATTTAGGGGTTGCCACAGCAAATCACCAGCCTCCATCTAACCCTAGAGCCACAGCAGTTCTCATTACCATTTTTGTTTAATTGGTTGTTTTTTTGTTTTTTACATTATGTTCACTAATCTACAAGATTGTGTAAATAATGATCTGTATTAAACCCACCAATACCAGCTTAGTCCATGCCCTGCACCAGAAAATGTAACATCAGCCTAATGTTGCCAGATCCTTCTCTCTTTTCCTTTCTGCACTAAATGTCTTGTGATGGGAGCGCTTTACTTTCAAAAAGGCAATCAGCCCTGTAGTAAGCAATCTGATGGCTTTATTGAAATGAAATGAAGACACAAAATGCTCTTATTTTAATAATCATTTGTTATTACACTCGAGCTTCATTCAGAAAGCACTTTTTAAATGTGACACAAAGCTGTCTCTGCCCTCAGTCTAAAGTTGATACCTATTATTTACTTGTGAAACTCTTTGTATTTATTCTGTGAAGCTTATTTAATATGAAACATGTAACCAGTTACATTTCGTCTAATGTTTAAAATTGTTGAATGAATTAAAGGTTTGTACAATAGTGACGCTGTCTCCTGGTCATCAGACTGTGGCGCACTTGCAGTAATATTCATCTAGCGGGAAGTCGGATTCCTTGGACGTCTCCAAGCAACCACAACCTGACGCAACCTTCCCGCCCCTCCTCCGGTAGCTCCCTGCTCAAAAATAAGTGCACCGCAGAGCCATAGAGGGGATCTTATCAGGGAGCGAGAGACTGGCGGTGATGGTCTGCGCCGATGTGGCTGCCAGGATTCAGCGTGGTAAGTTGGACCGCTGCTGGGAGGTTCCTGAAAGGTAAACGAAGTCGTAGTCTACGTGCGTAGCCGAGTTTTCAGGTGATCCCCCCCCCCTCAGGGTATCACCTTGCAGCACGCTGCCAGAAAAGCAGGAATAGGCTGAAATGAATCACATGCAAAATAAATCATCGTGCAAGATGTTCCAGGGGATTTAGAAGGAAAAATGTTATCTTTACAGATGGTGTTTGTTCCCCAGTGAGCGCAATAGTAATCACAATTGTTTCTTTTATGCTGTGAGAACTATCAGTATGTTATTTTCTCATAAATAAAAAATAATAATTAATTTAAAAAACACTTTTTTATTACATGCCCGCTTTCACTGTCAGAACTAAATGGCACTTAAAATCATAACGGTTCTCTCCATTTCAGATACGACTTCAAGTTATATAATAACAAGTACTGTTTTACCTTTATTATTACTATTACTGTTATATGGATCTATATATTTCAAATGTTGTAACTCTCAAGAGTGTCTTTGTCACTTCCATTGTGCGTTATGATCAAGTTAATCGCTTCTTTTCTGAATACAGTCAGAACTGTAGAGCTTCGATGTCTACTTTAGGGTTACAAATGCAAAGATTGGTTCACTTTGAACTACAGACTGCTTTATTGGGCTTCTGTTGCCACAACACGGGGGAAAAAATCAATACGCTGCAGCAGTGTTTACACTACTAACACAAACCTGGAGATAATTTCTTTCGGTTATGCTCAGTATCAAAGATGAAATTGAAATCCCTGCAAATTACTCAGGGTCAGGTTCTATTATAGATTGGAGGACTATACGCTAAAGCTTCATTTAGTTACTCTGTGGTTGTGTTTCTTACGTAGACATGACCTCATGTTCCAGATAGGAGAGCCAGACTTCCTAAGCTGCTCAGCCAGACCAGGTTTTGGCATCTCACAGAAGTCCCAACACCACAAAATATATTTTATTAGTGTGGCAACTGGAGTTTAAACCAGAGGAATGTATGGGTGATGTGTGCTGATTCACTTAGGACATTTGGATAGGGACAGCTGGACTTCCCCCACTGCCACCCCCTCCCTGACATCTAACATTTGACAGTGTTTTTATATGCCCTGGGTGAATTTGATATTCAGGATGTAAAACTTGGCTTCCTAGAGAGGCAGAGTTCCTGCTGGCCTATTCAAAAAAGTCACTGACTTCACCAGACCAGCCAGTAAAGAGGGGTTTTAAAAAAAACAACAACAAAAACCTCTCTATTTCTTTATAATTGTGATCACAGCTCATTATGTGATACAGACACACTTTTCCACATCCTTTCTAAGTGTTCTGGATAAGCAGTCCCTATTCACAATCTAACCAGTTCCTCACTGTACACGAACGGTCCTTACAAAGTTAAAAATGCCTGCCTCCAGCTTTAATGCTCTCTCTACACAGTGCGGACTTCAGCAATGCACTGATTCATGCAGATAACGAAGACAGCATCCATTCCCAGGCTACTAAAAAGTCAGCTACTCATCACAGTCTATTTTCCATTGCAAAGCAGCCAAGCCGGCTGTATCATTAGATCCAGGGGCAGGGACTTCACTGCTGCTATTATAGAATAACAGCACACCCCAACCACTTATTGAGATCTTATGGACTCAGTAGGAAGACACTGAGCAGTAAGAGTGCTTTTGCTATTGCTGCCCCTTTTACCAGTTGTAACTGGTCTTGCATTCCAACTCAACAGGTCCTGAGAAGGTTTTTATTTTATTTATTTTATTTTTTAAAAAAGCACATTCACATTCATTGTGGCTTTGGGATTATTGAGGCAATAAGCCTCGTGGACAGGAGGTCGGAAATTGCTGATTCATTTATAGCACCTCTGTTGTTGCTATGGAAACAGTTTGTTTCTGTTAAATGAAAATCCAGGAGGTGTTTTATCCCCCTCTGTGTGCTGTCCCCTAATTTCTGATATTAGAGAGGCCACATGCTTCATCCAGATCAGTTTATAGAAATACAATGAAGGTCTTTCTAGAGTGTAATCTCATTTTTTTCTCTATGTTGGCACATTAGGTTTGTCCTTTGTTATTCTCAGCAAATGTTTCATAACCTGTGTCTTTTTTCTTCTACAGATCTACAGATATTCTGCATTTGAAGCATCTGATTCCACTAAAGACTGAAGACTGGGTCTCCTGAAGAATATAAAGGGCAGAAAAGTGAATGCTGGACAGACAGAATGGAAGCCTGATAGCCTTATAGCGACGAAAGAGGCCAGATAGCTTTTTTTTGTTTTGTTTTTGTATTTAACAGGTTAAAAATGAATTCGCACTCAGCTCCACAGATCGTGGTTAACAGGACAAATGTCCAGGACGAGGCAGACTGTGGGGAAGGTGTAGATTTGCCTACAGATGACCATCTGATGACTTTGAAGGCCTTAACAGAGAAACTAAGACTGGAGACCAGGAGACCCTCCTACCTGGAGTGGCAAGCCCGGCTTGAGGCAGATCGCTTCAGAGACTCAGAAACTGGGACTAAAGGGAAAGTAGTTAGACACAAGGAGACTTCAGTGGACCCAGATGTGAGTCAGCCCAAGTTGCCATCAGGTGAACTTAAGGGATTTGAAAACATTGATGAAGCTCTAACCTGGCTCAGAAGAGAACTGGTGAGGCACTGTCTAAATGATCACCACCATCTAATCTTTATTTTGTTCTAATTTCTCATAGATTTTCAGAAATGTTTTGGGTTACAGTGTAATCAGCTTGCAGCATGTTTTTGTACTAACACTTCATAAAAGGAATTAAGGAAACAGGGAACATGGCCATAATGAGGGATTTAATATTGGCTACACGTGTTCAAAAGAGGAACACATGGGTCTTTTGATAAGTTCAGGCTGCTTAGTTGAAAATCCTTCGCAGTCAGTAATTGCCTGAAATCTAGAACCCATGGACATCACCACACACTTTGTTTCCTCTCAATGAGGTGCTCTGTCAGCCCCATTCTGAACCCACCTTCAGTCGCTGCTTATTTGTGGGTCTTTCTGCATTCAGGTTTGTCTTCAGTAACATGAAAAGCATGCTCTATTAAGTTGAGATCAGTTGGTTGACTTGGCCATTGAACAATCTCATTTCTTTCTCTTGAGAAACTAATGGTTGCTTCAGCAGTTTGCCTTGGGTCATTATCTGGTTGCACTGTGAAGTGCTGTCTGATCAGTTCTGAAGCATTTGGCTGAATCTGAGCAGAGAGTGTAGCCCTGTACACTTCACGATGCATTCTGCTCCTTCTATCAGTAGACACATTAGCAATATGGGCATGTATGGACCATGCCCATGAACCATGCCATAGCAATGCCTCCATCTATATTCTGCTGTAGTCTGCTTTACGCCATGAGCAAAGTCTAATCTGACCTTCTTGTTGCATCTGTATTTCCATTTATGAAGTTGTGTCTTGATTATAGACCTCTACCATGGAAATAATTCTGCCATCACGCAGCCCTGACTTGGCCTGACATTTCTTCAGACGTCATGTTGCAATCAAAAGCTATAAAATACAAACAGAACACACTGAATCAACTTCAGATATTGTGTCTGCTTCGGCAGTCAAAATCACCTGACCATGAAGATGCTGGGCATTTAATTGTCAAATTAATTTTAATTTGAAATTTATTTATTTTTTGTTAAAGCCATTGAATGAAAGCTTGCACTTCAATCACACCCTTATTGCTTGATTTAATTCAAAGAGTTGGGAGTTTGCCTTGTAATTGGAAGGTTGCCGGTTCAAGCCCCGGCTTGGACAGGCTCGGTCGTTGTGTCCTTGGGCAAGACACTTCACCTGTTGCCTACTGGTGGTGGTCAGAGGGCCCGGTGGCGCCAGTGTTCGGCAGCCTTGCCTCTGTCAGTGCGCCCCAGGGTGGCTGTGGCTACAATGTAGCTTGCCATCACCAGTGTGTGAATGTGTGTGTGAATGGGTAGATGACTGAATGTGTAAAGCGCTTTGGGGTCCTTAGGGACTAGTAAAGCGCTATACAAATACAGACCATTTACAGGCCATTTTTGTTCTAGTAATATTTTGTTCCACAAATTAGTGTAGTGTGAATTGTAGTAATTATTCTCCCTTTGTGACCATGTTTGATCAGCATAGCAGTCCCAAGATGTGCAGAACTTTCATTCCTATACAAAACAGAAAATACAGCATGCTTCCCCTTTGTCCTCGTGATTACATATAAAGGGGGAATAGTTCTTGTTCCCTTGTACCTACTGCTTTCTGTTGCTTTCTGTTGTCCTGTAATTAGTACAGTACAGTTAGGATAGAGTCTTATACTATACTTGGATTAATTCAATTGTATGATTATGACTGCAATTGATTTATTTTTCCTTATATTTTTCTTTTGGTTGTGTAATTTAGGAGGCATTGTTCCACACTCAAAGTTCAAGTAGAAAAGTTCATGCTTCTTAGCTAATTAGAGTTTAACAGTGCACGCGATGTTTAATCACCAGGCAGAAGAATCCCATTCATTCTTATTGGTGAGTGAGACTGATTGTGACCCCAGGCAGCAGAATCTGGCATTTGTTGCGAGCAATTTCTGCAACTGTAATCATTTTTACTCTGCTCAATTACTCTGCACATTCAGCCATAGCTCATATGCTTGGACTGTGCGCACAAAGAAGCACTGATAAAAGGCAGACTCACAGTACGTGGCTACAAACAATAAAGATGATTGTCATCTTTGTGTAGATGTTTGGACACAAACAAAGAAGAGCACCACGGTATCCCACCGTGAGTCTTCTTTTGACAAAAAAGGACCTCACAGAAGCACCTCTGGTCAAGCTCCACAGGTGGACTATACACAGTATGTTGGTGTGATTGAGTCCTCCATAAATGAAAAGAATAATTAAGCTTAGAATAGATTAGTTTTAGCTTTCAATCTTTTAGAAAATGACACTTTGACGCGTCCATTCGGCTTCGTATAAAATGAACAAATTCATCTTCCATCCCGACACCTTTGTCTTCTCTTTTGCAGACAGATATGCGCTTGCAGGACCAGCAGCTGGCGAGGCAGCTCATGCGGCTTCGGAGTGACATCAACAAGCTGAAGATTGAACAGACGTGCCATCTGCATCGCCGAATGCTCAACGACGCCACCTTTGGCCTCGAGGAACGGGATGAGCTGTCGGACCTGTTGTGTGAATGCCCGGTCACCCCGGGCCTCGGCCTCTCTGCCCCGCTGAGACTGATCGGAGTCACCAAGATGAACATTAACTCTCGCCGATTCTCGCTCTGCTAGTGGTAACGACGGAAGAAGAAAAAAATCCTGAATACAAAAGACCCTTTATATACTTACTTCTCTTGAGTGCAGCCGGCCAGCCGCAGTGATTAGATAATGATCAGATCTTTTCTGTTTTCAGAGATAAAACCACATCACACCCATTTTTATGCTCACTGAAATCAAAGAGAGAGATTTAAGAGATTAGGAAGAGTTTTAGTAAGTGTGGTGTTTTTGCCACTAAACTCAGCCCTGGAGCAGATTTCATACTTTTAGCCTTCCACGACTTGAAACAGAGTACATGCAGTTTTTGAATCAGTGCAAAAGCAGTGTTAGGCATGCTTCTGTTGTTTTTTAAACCATATTAGTACTGATTACCTTAAGTATTACCATCTACTTTCTGCCATACTTTATCACGCACAGATTAAATGTTTATATATATATTTTCACCACATTCAGACCTCTTTAGGACATTTTCAGTGACAATCACAGTTAGTAGATTTGTTTCTACCTTGTAAGTTTTGTTGTTGTTGTTTTCAAAGTGATGCCTTAATATTATAGAGACTGAGCGCTGTATGCTCATTTGTGTTTGTAGAATATCATGGATATAATGGTTTATTCGGTGTAATGATTGTCAAATTACACTCCTTTCTGAGCTTAGTCTCTGGAGCTTTGCCTTTTGCTCTAATAGTAATCATGTGAGTTGCCCTTGTCAGTCTGAAACAAAAACATGCTTTGTTTTCGCGGATGAACACTAAATTATAACTCATGTAGATCACTGTGAGCGCCCATTGACATGATTATGTGCGTCTTGCTATGACCCCTTTTTTATGCTGGAATCACAGTTATAATTGACTATAATTGAAGGCAACCTTTTCTTTACAAGACACTGACTTCGGGTTTGCATCTATAGTACAGTACTGTGCAGATGTTTTTCTTTAGACATTGGATTTTTTCACGTGTTTTTTGTCCAACTCCTTGTACCTTGCCCACAAGGTGATTCCCAAAGAGCTAAAACTTGGCGTGTCTCTGCATTGTGTGGAGTGTGTTCTTAAAAAATTAGGACACTGGACAAGTGAAGGACAAAAGAAGTCTTAGGTCTAAAAATTATCAGCAGCTGATGAACAGTCTCTGAAAGTCATGTCCTTAAGAAATAGGAAAACAAATCTAGCAAAGATCTGACGCAAAACCTAAGAGATGAATCTGGCCCTTAGGCCTTTGCATCTACTGTCCATCAGAAATAGTCTCAGTGGAAGGGTGGCTGTCAAGAAGCTACTCTTAAGGAAGGGAAACATGAAGAAAAGGCCGTTGTGTGCCAAACAGGTCTTCTGGAATGATTAATCCAAAATTAAAATTTTCGGTTCAGTTGGTTTGAGCAGTTGTTATCAATATGTATGGAGGAGGTCAGGATAGAGGTACAACAGTGAGTGTCTACAGGCAGGTCTTGGGCTGCATTTCAGGTAGTGATGCTGGAGGTCTTGTTAAAACTGCTGGAATTCTGAATGCACCACCAGATTTTGATCTACTATGCATTACCCTCTGGAAAGCGTTTGATTGGCAGCAGCTTCATTTGTGAGCATGATGATCCCAAAAAACACTGCAGATACAGTAAAAGCATACCTGGATAGAAAAACACACAATGGATTACTCTCCTTCATGGATTGGCCTCCCCAGAACCCGGAGTCCAACATTATTGAAGCAGTGTGGGATCATTTTTAGAAAGAATGGAACAAATAGCAGCCAACAACCAAAGAGGAGTTTTGAATGTCATTCAAGATGCCTGGAGAACTATTCCTGAAGACTCCTTAAAAGAAATGTTTGCATAAGAGAGTTCAGTCTGTGTTGAAGACTAAGAGTCACACCAAATATTGATTTTCATGCTCATTAGAATTGTACAAACTCTGCTCTTTCCTACTATACTGTATTTCCATCTATCCATCTAGCCAGGTTACAGATGTGGGTTGGTCAAAGACTTTTACATATTACTGTATAAGTGCATGGAATTTGTTTAGTCATGTTTAGTCCAAGGGAAATGAATGCACAATGAAAAAGAGCTTGTCTCATGGTTTTGATATATAACAAATGCAATATCAGAGATTTAAAGCTTTCCCACATGCCTTGGATTTTATTTGTTTTCAGCAGTGGTATTAGCAGAACAGATTACCTCCTGTAACACCCTCTGAAATAATAAAAAAGACCACAGTGTCTACTATAGCTTAGATTATCTTAATACTTAGCCTTTGCCCCATTTAACAGTGTTCTCAAAAGATGTAAAGGAAAGAAGTAGTCCATCAAGAGATGGATGCACTAAATGCACTAAATTACTTTCTCACTGTCTAATTTGCTGCCTTTAAAGGAAAATCATTACCAGTAGCATCTTATATTTTCCCTATAAAGCCTGTCTCCCAAACACAGTGAACCAGATGGAGGTAGGATGGTGTTTACATCACTAATGCTCTTATTTAAACACCAGTGGTAAGTGTGTTGGAGGGGTTTGGTTCTTGACTCAAGACAATATCAGAACTCTTTGTTCTGATACAACCCTACTCATATCAAGCCTTAATTAAAAAATAAATACTTAAAAAAAACAGTTGGGAGAAAGTGGAGAAAATTAGGCCTTCTCACCTCATTACTTCATCTAACATGTTGGATTGATTTAGTTCATTCACGAGGTGTAAAAATTTCTTTCCAAAAGGGGCAGGCTGCTGATTCGTCTGCTTGTGCTAACAGGTTGCTTTGAGAATAGCATCCGCTTTCTCATCTATCACTGTCAGAAAATGTATTTCTGTTTCTTTCAAGCGAGTGAAACTGCCACCTAACAGTGCATGTGAAGACAACGGTCAGCTTTGCATGCTAGAGTTGATTTACGCCGTTTCCTGGTCCCCGTGTCTCTCTCCTTATGAAGCGGTTGAAGCGGCCTGAGTCGTGAATGATTATGCTGAGACTGGATTTTCATGCATGAGCTCCAGCTTTATTTGGGATTATTGCAGATGAAAGCCACAACTCGTTCTACATGAAAGGCTGCCAGTGGGGCCATTACATGCATTTTCTAAAACGTTCCAGGCCATCAAGGTGTAGTTACCATGATTTTTTATGTTTTTAAAGTAAAATACTGGAAACAAATCAATGCAGTTGGAGCCAGATATTTTTAAAAAATGGTTTAGATTCCAGTGTTGGAGTCTAGCAGCATCGCATCAGTGCAGGAAGGTCTTGGGTTTGAATCCACCAGCTGGTGGAAGCTTTTTACTCTGGAGTTTGCGTGTTCTCCCAAGTACTCCAGCTTCCACCCATAGTCCAAAGACATGCATGTTAAAAATAAAGCAATTTAAAAAAGGTGACGTTAAATGGGGCATCAGTGTGCAACCTTGCCTCTTGCCCTCAACAACTGGGATAGGTTATATCCCAACCATGACCCTCGACTGGACATGTGGAAGGAAATGGATGGATTCCCGCTCCGTTCAACAGCTGTCCCTAGAGTTGGTTATTTTAATAATTTCATACCTAAACCATCTCATTTACATGACAAAAAGCGCCTTGAGGCAACTGTTGTTGTGATTTGGTGCTATCTTTAAAAAATGAATTGAAATTGAATTGAACTGAATTGAAAATGACATGCATACAGTCATTCACTGTCAGTTTGAGAAGCATAAAATCTCAAGAATAAAGGCCCAGTGTGGTATGCAATAAAAAGTAGGCCACACTGAGGGTTAAATAATCTGCTGTTTTGGGAGAGAGAGAGTGAGAGATGTTTGATCTCCGTTCTGTTTCAAGAAAGTTGTGATACTGTCTTCCACTTCGATTTTATGTATACTGCATACTGAAGAGGAGTTAATCTAGCAAAAATGGATGTAACAGATGTAACACCACAGAGCGGCACTGCGCGCTCGAACACAAACAGCTAACAGAGATCTCACCAAGGTGAACCACAGGGTGAGACTGGCGCAGATCCCAGACTGCATCTCATGCTGAGCCTTTGTGTAGGAGTGTCTGAGCACATCTCATCTCAAAGATTTACTGCTAGAGTGAGATGGTTTCAAACCACCACAGTTTGGAGAAGAATGTAGTTTTAACAGGACATATAGTCTTGGAAATTGATGGGTTACCCATCAAATTGACTGTCCTTAGATGCTGACTTACACAATGTGATGACAACAAGTCCTACTCGGTCACTTTGACTCTTTGTAAAAATTTTTCTTTAACAGATTTACTGGAAATATCTAGCAAGTAGTGACATTTTTAGTATCAACTGGTTCCAAAATAAGATCTAAAGCAGGTGGATTTGATGCGTAAGAAGGCACATGGTGAATTCAAAAGGTTTTAAGTTTGACCACACTAATAAATCCATGGAGTGCTAAACTGATTCTGACTGTGCTGGTGTTTGGAAAATGGATTTTGAACTAAGGTATGAGTAAAACATAACCCGGAGCTTAAACATTCAGCAGTTTCCTTTGTGAAATATCAATTTTGGAAGTTTTTTTTATTCTTTGGATTAGATTTAAGCATTCACGAAGTTTCGGATCAGTACTCAGTGAGCTAATCAATTGTTAATATATTAATATTTTTAAAAAGAAAAGAAAAATATTCAATGATCAAGCAGCCCCAAACTGAAAAGTGAAGGAGACTTGTCTACAAACAAGCAGCTGCACACATCTCATCTTCTATATGTGACTCATGCAGTGTTGATGAGGAACTGCAGGAGCTTCTGTCATTGTGTGCAGTTAATTGGTAAACTCTTTATAAAACAGCATGGGATCTCTTAATGACTTAATTAGTCCAACTGATCTATTTAATAATTACTTGCTTCAGTGAGGTGCTGCTCAGTCCAAATTGGATTAAGATGAGAATTTATAGGCGGCCAATTAGTATTCCTCCAAGTACTGCCGGGAAACAGTTCAATTACATCAAAAGGGGATGTAAAAAAACAGCATGTACTCCCTTTCTGCATGACATCATAGCACAGCTATACAGCGAACACTTGTTAGGACACAAGACTGAATGTGTACTTGTTATATCCCTCTTTTGTTCAAAGAAAACAGTGTCTAAAGCCAAAGATGTTATCTGAACCAAAGTGTAGTTTTACTATGGGTACCTCTACTCCAATACCATAAATGACACAGAATGACTCCAGAAATTAACATAGTATGGTGCAGAAATCTTTAGCCATTTTAACGGGAAAATGTGAAATAGGTGCAGCAATTTATTGAAACGTGCAAGGAAATAAAGTGAGTAAGGAAAGACATTCAGAGACATTCAAAACTCTTCTTTGGATGTTGGCCATCTCTTGTTACATTCTCTGTCAAGATGATCCAACACTGCTTCAATAAAGTTGAGTTCCAGGCTCTGGGGAGGCCAATCCATGACTGATTCAACTAAAGAAATGTGAACAAATTGTGTTTTTGTGGCAGGCTGCTCGTAGCAAAGTGTCTAAAGAAACAATTTAAAAGATAGTTGGTTCTTTGGCAAGTTACTTGTTAAGTGGAGACAATACTGGTTCATCCCTTGAGTTGGGCATCCCTTTTTACACTTGAAGGATTTGTGGCTCAGTGTTGAGTAGCTTGAAGAACAAAGATATTCCTGTGAAAATGGTCAGGTTCAAGGACTGAGGGGTGAGAAAAGCCGAGTTAAAGTCTGCTGATGGGCTTTTACGGAACGGAATGTGCTCAACTCGTGCTGTCCTCAAAATTTCCCGTCCCCAAGACTCACAAAACTAATCCCTGACTTTGTGGGCATTCAGCAGCATCCAGCCTGGCTGCTTTGATGAAGCTCTGAATGAAATTCCACTGCAGCTTAGGTGCATCCAAGCAAATGATCATATTTGGACTACAAAACTTCCCCTTGTGTCAGTTCTTATGTATAGAGGTCAAATGAAGAGCTAGTGAACATTGATAACGCAGCAGACAGGTGGTAAGGGATAATACTATATTGTTTTTATGCAACATCAAGATGCGTGTAAATTTTGCAATAAGATACAATCAGTGTAAAATAGCTGTTATTTAATAACCATGTTTTGCTGAACAACTGTAGTTACAGTTCATAATTATCTGTCTGTGAGTGACAGACAGCAGGCAGCAGTACTGCAGTGTGAAGGCACAACATAACAAGATGACCTGCATGTGAAGAACGACTTTAAACGTTATAAATTTACATCAGCCATCAACTAACTGGCTTTGTCAAATACAGTCCTCACTCACTAAATGAATGAGAATTTGTTTTTACAGCATTTCATCGGTCAGTTTGAGTAAGGCAAAAATATGTAAATAAGTAAACAATGATAACAAATGATAGTGTAAAACAAAGCAGTACACAAACCTTACTGGAAAAAAATGGCGCAAAATGTTACACACACCGTAACACACAATGTGAATGAAGAAAACCAAAGTTCTCTTTGTGGATGAAGCTGACTGATCTATAGCAAACACAAAACAGCCCCATGCTTCACCTTCTAAAATGTGTACACAGTCCTCTGATGGATTATCCACAATTTTCAAAATTACAGATTTCAAAGACTGAAGATATTCGCTACATTGCTCATAGCAGTGGCAGATACTGCCAATAAATGAGCACAAAGTAAAATTTTTAAAATAAATCAGTCTATAAAACCAACAATCCAACCCACTGCGTTTCATCTACAGGGTCTGCATAAGTGCATTTGTTGACTTAATAGTAACAACTTAAGGCTTTCCTTGAGTGTGTAGGGACTATGGAACGTCCTCTTGACAATTAGAGGAAAATACAATAAATCAAATCTTAGGTCAGTGCTGAACAACCACCTTCATCTCATCCACTCACATCATGCCTGCTGGCCATCAGTTCATGTCCACAGCTCCCCAAACTACCCCCCTCTGTTCCCCATGTCAAGGTGTCACTGGATCCTGGTCCATACTACAGCCGAGAGCTTCAATGTCATTGCTGATATCGGTGATCATACGGTCCCATTCATCCCCCTCAGAGGGCTCGTGGCCTTCGTCCGAGGCAACACTGTCACCACTTCCTCCTGCTGCTCCGTTGCCATTGGTGGTGGAATCTGAGGCAGAGCTTGCTGTGCGCTTGTAACGACCAAAGCTGTCAGTGATGATGCCTCGGCCGTCCTTCACACCGATGGTCTCAAGGAAGTTCTCAAAGTGTTGGCTGTCCTTCTCTGGTATGAAGGGCCGCAGGCCTGCAAGAGGAAGAAAAAGCTCTGAATTACTGCACATTTTATTACGTGAAGCATTTAAGTTACTTTAAAACACTGACAGGGACTAGAAAGAGAGACCATATTTCTTTATATTGGCTTCTCTTCATTTGCTCTGTTAAATCCAGAATTGAATTCAAAAATCCTTGAACTTGAATAATTAGGCTCCATCTTAATGACCTCATAGTACAGCCACTGGTATTGCCCCATCAGAGCTCTTGGACTGTGTGCTTACTTGTGGTTCCTAGAGTATTTAAAAGTAGAATGAGAGGCAGAGCCTTCAGTTTTCAGGCCCCTCTTCTGTGGAACCAGCTTGAAATTTGGATTCGGCAGACAGACACAGTCTTTACTTTTAAGCTCAGGCTTAAAACTTTCCCTTTTGCTAAAGCATATAGTTGGGGCTGGATCAGGTGACCCTGAAGCCTCCCTTAGTTATGCTGCAATAGGCATAGGCTACTGGGGGATTCCCATGATGCAGGGGAGGAGTATTTCTTCTTCAGTCCCTGTTCTCACTCACTATGTATTAATAGACCTCTCTGCATTGAATCATTACTTGTTATTAATATCTGGTTCTCTTCTACAGCATGTTTTTTTTTATCCTGTCTTCCTTCTCTCACCCCAACCAGTTGCGACTAATGGCCGCCCCTCCCTGAGCCTGGTTCTGTTGGAGGTTTCTTCCTGTTAAAAGGGAGTTTTTCCATCCCACTATCGCCAAAGTGCTTGCTCATAGGGGGTTGTATGATTGTTGGCTTTACTCTGTTGTATTATTGTAGGGTCTACCTTACAATATAAAGCACCTTGAGGTGACTGTTGTTGTGATTTGATGCTGTCTAAATAAAACTGTATTGAAAATTGAATTGAATACACAAGATCTGTTACACCCGTCTTAGGACACACACACACACACACACACACACACACACACACACACACACACACACACACACACACACACACACACACACACACACACACACACACACACACACACACACACACACACACACACACACACACACCTTCAGTCCCACCATGCCCTGAGACCAGTCTATTGGCGTGTATGTCTGAGGTGTTGCTGTAGCCTTACATAAGCGCACCATCTGTGATCTGACTGATCTTGGTGAAAATCTCACCAGAAACAGGTACTAAGATGAGCACTCTAATAAGTGCTTGTTCAATTCATGTAGCAGCTCCCTGTCCTTAGCCAACAAAGCTGCAGGCTGTCCTCCAGGAGTGGAAAGAAAAAAAAGAAAATCCTGATACTTGCAGTCTATGTGAACACAGGTGACTGTTTGATACATGCCCACAGGAGGCAGTCCTTCCATTAAAGATCTCATTTCTTTTTTTTCATGTCACACTTTCCCCTTAAACCTAATAACTGGTTGTGCAACCTCTGGCAACAAGAACTGCAATCAAGCTTTTATGATAACTGGCAAGTCTTTCACATCACTTCAGAATCTTGATCCTTTGCAGAATTGTTTTAATTAAGACAATTAGCCATGGGTTAGCCATTCAGAGGTAGCTTTTCTGGTATGTTCTGCTGCAAAACCCACGTGATCTCCTTCAGGATTTTCTAGTAGAGAGGGTTCCATCGATTACTGCAAGTCATTGAGGTCTTGAAGCAGCAAAGCAGCCCCAGGCCATCACACAACCATGTTTGACTGTTGGTATGACGTAATTTTTACACCAGAGCTATTTTTGTCTATTAAAAATGTTTGATGATCTGAAACATCAAAGTGTGACAAATATGAAAAAAAAAGAAAAAAAAAAGATGAGAAATCAGGAACGGGGATACTTAAAACCACAAACTACTTTTTTCTTTTTACAAGTATATATGTACGTTCATACCATCAATATTAGAGTACCATAAAAATGTTGTTGCTTGAAGTTGGTATTTTACTTTTTAGGATATTTTCTGTGCTCTTCTCCAAGATGTACCATTTAAAATATTGCTGTAATTAGATCAGTGGATGTAACTACTGTTACATAAACTGTGACTACTATATTAATCGCACAGACACCTAAAAAGAATAACACATAGCAAACTAAGACTTCAGCAAAAGTACAAAAGCTAACTGCTAACACTTTACACTTGATGATATGAAGTTTAAAATAATTGAATCTTCAGTTGTAGTGTGGGCTTACCGAGCAGAAGAAATTTCCTGCTGTCCCCATAAAGTTGTCGCAAATTAATGCAGAACTCATGAATGGAGGCACCGTTACGGTATTCATGGAGCAAAGTAGCAAACTGCTGGATCTCCTGTGATGAGAGCTTTGTCCGCAGCTAGAAAGGGAGGGGGGGAAATTAAAAAATAAAAACAAGAATGATTACAGTTTCGTATCAACATAGCTTTCAATATTCTTATTCTCACAAACAGAATTGGACAAAGAAAAGAGTGAAGTGAAAGCCATACTGTGGTCATGTAGTCCTGCAGCAGCTCTGCAGCTGTGGTGCTCAGCTCGCCTTCGCTTGCAGTTTTGGTCTGAGGAGATGCAGGAGTGGAAGCAGATGGAGAGCTTCCTTCTGTAACCAGGAACTGACTGAGAGACCGCAACACACTTAAGTGATGAGCAAAACTTTCACAGATGTGACAAAACTTTGAAAAGAAAAATGGAACTGCACTGTAGCTGGACTGAGCTGTGTACTCACAGTGGGCTGGGTTCCTCTTCAAAAGAGTCTTTAACATCTACTTTGCTCGAAGAGTCATCTTTAAGGTTAACAAAAGGAAATATTAACAGACTAACAATTGATGGAAAATCTTAAATTTCGTTAGCTTAAAAAGCTACAAAACAGCACCAACCTACATGTTATAAAAAACATTTTTAAGCTTCTTATCAAGTAAACCAAATATTTAAAAGTCTGTTAATTTTCCCATCACTTTTGTCCATATGGAAAACAATTTTCTGCTTTACCACTGTACTGAGAAAGGTGTCTGGTTGGTGTAGTTGCGCCATCAAAAATGGCTCTGTCTAAGAAGTCGATGGTTGATTCTGTGTAAACAATCTGGAAAACTTGGCTAAGCAAAAGACACAACTCCTCAGCTGCTGCCTAAAAAAAAAGAAAACGAAAGAATAATACAGTTAGTAAACAGTTTTTATCATGCAAAACACATCAAAACTAAAATGATCTCTTAGAGATTGATGAATGCATCATAAAAAAAAATTACAGTTTGTAGATTAACATACACTTGTTTCATCTTTTTAAATTACCAGGATTAAAAAAACAAAACAAACAAAAAAAACAAAAAAAAAAAAAACAGGGTTTTTGCTGGTTCCCATTCAGGTTCAACAGTGCTGCAGGTGGCTCGAAGCCAACACTTCAATTTAGATCTTTAAACCCTGTCTAGCATTTCAAAAGGAGTCTGCAGTTTGCCTCACATGCAAAATGTTACCTTATTATCAACTGCCAGCACAAGCAGACAGCAGACTTCAACAAGCACAGTTCCACTTTCTGACAAGGAGCTCCGAGTTTGAGACTTATTGAGATCAGGACATGAACTGGGACAGGGCGAGCCCCCTGACTCCTGGGCTGAAAACAAACAAACAAAAAAAACAACCCACATTTAAAATGAACATATAGTCAAAACTTTACTTATTCAGTTTTTATGCATGGATTCTGATCCTTAATAGCCATAATACTTTTAGCAAAAGTCAAACCTGAAAAGCTTTGTTTTTACCTGTTTTTATCACTACAAGGTGTAATGAGTCATCCCTGATGTAGGAGACAGCAGCAATATCATGGATGGGCACTCTTAAAATGATGTCTTCTCCATCTCGCCGTACCAGCTTGATGTTGTATGCTGACAAGCTCACGACTGCATCCTGCTCTGATGTCAGCTGGCCTACCAACTGATGTGACTTCTGAAATACCGGGAGAGAAATATTTAAGAAATATGCTTTCATTTGTCACTTTGTGATATACAACTATTCACCACCCAGTTAGCACAAACATCTCATGTTAGATATGCAGACAAGCCTGCTGAAGTTCAAACAGAGCATTAGAATGGGGAAGAAAGGCGATATAAGTGACTAAATGTAACCCGAGTTTTCCAGAAACTGTTGACTTACTGGGATTTTTCCACACAACCATCTTTAGGATTTACAGAGAATGGTCTAAAATCTGGCACTTCTCTGTATGACAAATGCTTTGTTGATGTCAAGTGGAAAATGTTCTGCCTGCTTTGAGTTCTTGGAAGGGAACAGTAACTCAAATAAGCACGTGTTAAAACCACGGTACGCAGAAGAGCATCTTTGAATGCACAACAAACCTTGAAGAAGTTGGGCTACAACAGCAGAGGACCACATTGGATACCACTCATATCAGCTAAGAACGGGAAACTGAGGCTAGAATTCACACACAACATATTGTAACATATTCTACTTAAATGGCCTCCAAAAATCACCAGATCTCAGTCCAATAGAGCACAGAAGATTTGCATTATGCACCAACTGTGTGCTGTCATGTCAAAATGGATCAAAATCTCTGAGGAATGTTTTCAGCACCTTGATGAATCTATGCCTTGAACAATTAAAGTAGTTCAAAAGGCAAAAAGGAGTCCAATCCAATTCTTGCAAGGTGTACTTAATATATTGTCCACTGAGTATATGCGAGTTATGTAGGAATAACTCTTCAACAGTTTTGAAAGAAAAATCAGGAGACGGGGGGAGTAATCGCATTTAAAGATTCCGATAAATCCTCTTACTCAGGTACTTACTCTCGCATTGTCAATTAGCTGCAGGACCTCTGTCCTACTTGATGGGTTCAAGTATCCTGGAACTGATGTCAGCTGCCCCAAGTACTGAAAATGATAGAGGAAAAAAAACACTTCATATTAGAGAAAGTTGCACCAAAATCTAAATTAAAAAAAATAATAATCATTATTTAAAAGCAAAAAACCCCCCAAGAAAAAACCAAAAAAAAAAACCCCCCAAAAAGACCAAACCTGATATAAGTGAACAAAACGACTAGAGCTTCAAAGAAAACATCCTTATCACACTCACTTTGACTTCCTTCTCAATGTAGTCATTGAGCAGGATGTCTGGGTCGATGCGGTGGTCAGGCTGAGAGAGTGAGAAGGTGTGTAGGGCCCTGCGCTCTGTGGCCTTCTCCTGGGCTTTCTTGTCCCTCCCCTTCTCTCCTTTCAGGAAGACTCGCTTGAACGGAGAGATACCAGGCTATTGAATAAAGAAAGAAAGGTGAGTGAAGTAAGAGGACAGCAGTCTGTGTAACAGTAACTTGAACTCGCCTTTTAAGTTTGAGTAAATACAAGTAGTAATTCCCTATAAGACCATATAAGAAAAAAATACATGTGTGACAATCTAACACTTGCAAGTGGAATTACGAGTTCAGTATGAAAAAGGGAAGCTACGTTAAATTTTGTTGACAGTTCTTCTCGCCTGGCCTATAATTTCTGCTGAGCCCATTTCCCCTCACTGTTCTGCTAGTTCCAAAATAAGACACCACAGAATTACAAACCTCAATGTTGTGCAATACGTTATGCTACAATACTAACAAAAGCACATGTAAACAATACGTTTTGTGATTTTGATGACCTTTTTCAGGTTTCCCTAACTGGAGCATGCATTCTCTCTCAAACATCTTTGTTTTTAAGTCTGTTTATTTCACTTCATTCCTTTGTCTGCATATAGGTAGTACAACATTACACACCAGTGTTGATCTCGTATATGTTTGAAACCCAAAAACAGTTACTTAACATAACATAACTAACTCCGACTTTGGAAAATGTTTCAAAAGCATAAAAAAGATAAAGCGTGTAAAAATAATAATAATAAAATCATACCTCGTTCTCCATGAACCCGCACTTTGGGGATACGCCTATGCAACAAGCTCGCAGCCTGGCCACAAATGCTCAGACACTGCCTAAACTAAAGATCACCTGATGCCTCCACTCACATGCAATGACAGCTGCCAACTGGCGAGAGACACTCAGTATAGCACACGGGGTATAGATGTCAGGGGTGTGTTCCCCACAAAGGAAGGGAAGTGTCTCTGACTTTATACTCAAGCACAAGAACAGGAAGGAGACCAACCACAGCTTCCTGCAATGACACGTGTATTGATGCTTTGAATATTTAGACACTTCTCTGCAGGAAACTTGTCATGTAGTTTTGAGAACTGTTTGGCAGATGCTGAATGCAATTTTAGTAAATGTGATTCAAAGGTACACTTTTACCTCAAAACTAATAACATTTCAATGCGATTGCTTGTTTCTATCACAGTCACAGGACTCTGCAAGACTCTGAAAGCACATTTATACATACTGCTGCTAAACCACAGAATTAGACAACTTTGTCTCTTTCTCCTCAGCTAACCACAGCTATGACATCTGCAACGCTGTTAACAGTGCAGATTTCAGAAGGTGAAAAGTGCAGGCAATCTAAAGACAGATGTTCATTTTTTTAATTAAACAGGCAAATTATAAATAGTAAAAACTTTTCTCTGCAACAATAAAAGCAAATCAAGAGCAGACATTTAGAAGTTTGCAAACACCATCTACAACAGAAGGACTACTTTAGTCATTTGTAGTTCCCAAATTTGTAGCTAGAATTTTTTAAAACAGATTTCTATATCTTTTCTCGTGATCTGAGAAGATAATGTCATTAATTTCATTATATTAGTTTATTGCTTTTGGAGAATTTCAGTGACAGTGACAGTTGTGTTTTTTTCGTCATATGTCCCTGTGACAGCCACACCCTGTGTGAGAGTGTGTGTGTATGTATGGAGGTATGTGAGTGTATGTATGTCTTTGCTAATTGAAGTTAAGCATTTTTGCCATAGTCTCTGGCAGAAATAAGTAATTAAAGGAAAAATCTATTACGGAGTCAGTTACATGCTGGTAAAGGAGGACTTTAAAGAACTGGTTAAGAAGTAGGGTTGGGCAATTGGACAAATATATCGACTATTGACGATAGACTGAGCCCATCAGCGATCGTTTTTACAAGGGCGATTTATTTATTCATTTGCCCATGACTAAGTTTGCTAATAATGATGGAGCTAACAGAAGCAGTCAACAGAAAATAATAATAATAATAGCACTGTTTTAGCAACATGCTTTTTCATCTGCGAGCCTCAGAATGTGCCCAAATGCTTTTTAATGGAGCTGCATTAACACTGACAGCCTTAATTTTTTGGGGGGGAAATTAGTTCGCCCACAACATGTTGTGTTATAAACATGCAAATCAGTCCATGCTACATTGCTCCACCCATCAAAAAGTCTGCGCATGTGCGAATGTCGCCCAACGTCCATTAATGGACTGATGATTGTTGGAAAATTTTTACATATCGCCCAACCCTATTAAGAAGGCTGACCCAAGAAACAACATTCCAGGTAAAATATAATTTTCAGTTTCATATTTGACAATATTGTGCAGGCTCAGATTAAGTTACAAGGCTAGTTATTATTATAGAGATTGAAAATGTGACGTCATTCCGGGGTAAAACCGCAAAGAATTCTGGGAACGAGTGTCAAGCGGTACTAGTGCACGCAGGCTTTCACATGAAAACAGTCACACAGCAATAAAAAGAAACACAAAAAATGGCAAGAAGCTGTTGTATTATTAACTGCAATAGCCGGTTGAATGACAGCCACAGGAAGCCAATGGGTAAAGAGATCGGTTTTTATCGGATTACGTCGTGGAAGAGAAATTGTTCAAGCAGTGTTTCCGAAGTAACAAAGAGCCGACGGATGGCCTGGATTGCAGCCATTCGAAGACCAAATATAATGTTCCAGAACACTCCAGCTCATATGTTAGTCTGCTCCAAGCATTTCCACAAAGGTAAGTTTTCTGTTGTAGTTATTACGTAATTTATCATAACATAATTGTTGATGTAGGTTACAAATAAGTCTTATATTGATTTGAATTGAATTCGTTGCGCTATGCTGCTTTGTTCACTGTGGCTTTGCGGGCTAATGTTTGTTGTGTTTTGTAGGAAAACCAGTCTACAAAATGTTAGAATGCGATCCAGACTGGGCACCCTCTATCAACCGGGGTCATACTGAGTTTAAAGCTACTACCACAGCGAGATTTGATCGGTTAAGAGAGCGTGATATCATTACAGCCACGAAACGTCCTGTATATATGTGCCCAAGGGTTGTACTGAAGCACTCAAGTGATGAATAACTGTTTTCCAGTATGTTGTTTTGCAATGTTTTTTGGGGTTTTTTTGCATTGTTGACTTGTTTTTTTACCGAAGCAGCTAATAAAGCATAATGGAATACAATTTTGCGTCTTTCCTGTAAGATTCTATAATAGAATGAGACAATAATGCCAGTTATAAATAAAGACAATGAATTGAATGAATTACGAAACACTCATTTGATTTCTATTAGATCTGAAAATGCTCGTACCCAACATGCAATGCGCGAAAGTCGCGTGGTCTGTCAATCTCTATAGTTAAGCATTAAGCAGTTATGTTATCTTTTTACTGAAAATCTCCAAGGAACACACTACCTAGGCTACGTTTATGCTTTACCATTGACTTATGCTGTTCGTATTCTTGCACTTTAATGCTGCTGCTGGTGACTTGTGGTAATAACAGTCACACTTTGAAAGGGTTAGTCTGTCATCGGTGACACTTGAAAAGGATGGAAATCCCCTTGATTTTGTTTGCAGCAATAAATAAATGCTGCTACCGGTGAGCTGCAGTCACTGATTCAATGTTATTCAGCATCTTGTTTTCTATATAATCAGAAATATCATCACAAATTTTCTTGAAATATTATAACAATATTTTGATGCCATCTCACCCACTCCCAACTGTGCCACTCAAAAACTCATGTTACAAACCTGGCTTTTTTTTTTATATCTATGCTAAGAAATATCAGCACATAAGAGACAAACTAAATGCAAATTTAAAAGCCATACATTCACTCAGACACACATACGTGTGTGTGTGTGTGTGTGTGTGTTAATGTATGTTGTTTCTTACGTGCTGATATTTCTTAGCCTTCAGTCACTATAGAACTCGAGCTCCATCACCCACTGCATTATTTAATAGTATGCAACTATTGAAGTACATTAACATTTTATGGCCTTTACTTTTGAAATGTGAGACTATAGTTGACCCCAGTAAATGGCCACAAGCTGATGTGTGTTTTTTTATTCATAAAATACATATAAATGAAGAAACTGCATAGTTTCTGTGGGGTGTGACAATAATGAGTATAGATAAGACTTTCACATTTACTTCAAAACAATGCAAGAAAACCTAGACCAGCTGTAAGAGAAGCCAGCATTCTCAATTCACTGAGACCTATTCAGAAACGCGGCCTAAGAATAACAATTAAATCCTACAAATAATCATTCACAGTAAAGTATTCAAGAACATTACCATATACAGTTGTAGGAAAAAGTTCGAGGACCCTTGAGGTTTACTAGAATTTCTGCATGAAATATTCATAAAAGGTGTAATCTTCATCGTGTCCCCTTTAGAATCATAAGGTCCAATCTGACACTTCTGTCAAACTTGACTTATTCTAATATTCTTATTCCCTGACAACTTAAAAATAATGCAAGTATTTCATTTTTAACTTTTCAATTGCACCTTTGGAAAAAAAAAAGTCTCTCCATAAGGATTCTTTAACTTTGCATTAAAAGGTGCCATCTATGAGCCAATAAGAACTTGATGACATGTTGAAACCAGAAAGGAAGCCTCCCTGCTGCTGCGGAGTCGGGGCGGTCTGCCTCTCCCCACCGCAGGGAAAAGGGTAACACCACCTGGGTCTGGGTGCAGTTCCCCCCTCCAGGGGCAAGGGTACCTAGTCCCGGTTCGTAGAGTACGCTTGGGGAGTGTGATCGTGTTTACAGCGTCTCTTTATGTCTGTCTCCACGTTGGTTGAGTGTGGAGTAAGTGCATATGAGAGCATGAGGGTGGGAATGGATGTTTGTGTCTGTGTGTGCCTGTATGTCTGTGCCTATATGTCAGGTTTGGTATCAGACGCCACCTCCCTGGGGACATCTCAGGCCCTCCAAGGTTTGGAGGCCTATCTCCACCCACCACCACTTCCCCTGCCAGTGGCAGACTCCCTTAGACATCGGTGCGTTGGTGGTTCTTTGTGTCCGGGGATGGGCGTCCAGGTACACACCGGCTCACTCCTTGGCGGCCGCTTATCGGGGCCTGGAGCCTGGGGCTCGCTCGGGCCACTTCGGAGGTGGGGTGCCCCCGGCCTCTCGGCCTGGGGCTCGGTCACTCAGGCACAGCTGGCTGCCGGCGGAGCTCACAGGCGCGTCACTGCAACTCTCCCTGGCTTCTGCTCCGTGGCTGCTGAGTGAACCCTCATCTGGGACTCTCCTCAGCTCTTTCTGGGACAGTGGCGCGGCTGCCCCTCTGTTAGTCTTCCTTGGTCTCTTGTGTTCTGGGGGCCTCTGGATGTCTGGAGTTTTCATCTCCTCCATACCTGCTTCATGCCCTGGAGGACGGGGCAGTGGCCCCCCCACACCCTCTAGCAGATCATTACATGAAGGAACCTTTTAAAAAAAAAAAAAAACAAGCGCGTCCATGCTCACAGGTGTACACACAGGTGATCACACCCACAAACTACACCCTTTTTGGCTCCTACCTCAAAGCACACTGTGTTCTGTTGATCTTATGTGCTGCACAATAATGTTTAATATTTAGTATTTACTGTCATATTTGTTATGGAAAAGCTGTTTCTCTTTCCCTCTTTCTTTCTCCCCTTCTTTCCTCCAGTCAAGTCTGTCCCGTATTCAGCAAGTGAAAATAAAATAAACAATAAAAGGTGAATCAAATGGACCATTACGGCAAGGTTGGGATGGTCAATTTGGTAAAGTAAATCCGTTGAGCATCTTTCTTCGCCTTTAGACAATAATTCTGATGGCAAAAGAGCCAAACGGGACAGGCAAAAAAATAAAAATAAAAAGAAACCAGAAAGGAAACGAAATGAGTCTGGTGCTCAGTTGGCTAGCATGAGGGTATTGAAATGTGCCATTTTTTTTTTTTTTTTTTTTTTACAATTTGTATTCAATCATTCATTTATTTATTGAAAAGATGCCACTCTTTTAAGCATCGTCTTGTCACAGAATGCATTACATTTGATTTAATCATACTTGCGGAGACAGTTACATTACTAATTGTATATTTTAAAACTAATTATAATTATGGTTTTAAATGGTTAACTTAATTATAAGTTAACCATTTATAATTACTTGAAAATCTGATTTCACATTTTGTAAAACGAACCTAATGTTTCCAAAGAAAAATAAGTTTGTAGAATTAAAAGGTTTATCTGCATTTCACTTGTTCAAAAGCTATACACTTCACAGGGTTCAAGACTATAGATTTAAAAGACATATAGGGTGTGT